AGTGCTGGGATTACAGGCTTGAGCCACCGCGCCCGGCCCCCTTTTTTGGTATGTTTTAAAAATTAAAAAAGGCCAGGCACGGTGGCTTACACCTGTAATCCCAGCACCTTCGGAGGCTGAGGCAGGCGGCTCACCTGAGGTCAGGAGTTCAAGACCAGCCTATCCAAAATGGTGAAACCCTGTCTGCACTAAAAATACGAAAATTAGCCAGGTGTGGTGGCACGCGCGTGTAATCCCAGCTACTCGGAAGGCTGAGGCAGAAGAATCACTTGAACGCAGGAGGTGGAGGGAGCAGTGAGCCGAGATTGCACTAAGCAATGCAGCCTGGGTGACACAGCGAGATTCTGTCTCAAAAAAAAAGAAAATACATACGTGTGTGTGTGCGCGCACGCTTAAGACACAGTACTATACAGGAAAATCATCCATGTTGTATGCAGAGGCAGAATGTCAGAACTAAATACACTGTGTGTGTGTGTGTGTGTGTGTGTGTGTGTGTGTGCGCGCGTGTGTATTCTGGAAACCTTAAGAGACAGTACTATACAGGAAAATCGTCCATGTTGTATGCAGAGGCAGAATGTCAGAACTAAATACTCTCTGCCTGATGAAACTCATTTTGCGCAGTGGCAGTACCATAGCCAATGAGGTTTATCTGAGGCGTGATTATTGCTACTTGAAACTCAGAGTTGAGCCCCATAAGAATTCCAACTTGCTTTGGCTGAATTCCTTCACTTCAGAAGAAAAAGAAAGAAGAAGAAAAAAGAATTCCAACTTGCTGAAAGCAAAAGCAGGCTTTGTTTGCATCTCCACCGCTAGACCTGACTAGCTCTAGTCTACTCCTTACTGACTAGTTTTAACTAGTAGGAAAATAAACATCAAGGGAAGCCAAGTCCTTATCATGAGAGCTCCACATGGAGAGTCCCCATTTCTCTGCTGTGACCTGGATTTGTTCCAGGTAACTGGAATAACCCTTTACCTCTCTCACACAACGGCAAGCAAAGCTTTCAATGCAGGATGTGTACATCTCACCTGGACCTACAGTCACCTCGGTGGAATGCTTGTTGATAACCTTAATCTTATCACTAAAGCCATTTTCCTCCACAATCTTCACAGCAGCATCAGCCATAGGCTTGAAAACCTAGAAAACAGAGCCAAAACCCAAGGAAAAATGAGCAATAAATTAAACAGTAGTCTGACCTTTAAGGTGAACAACCTATTCCTTGATTCTGGTCCTAACACATGTAACTTAAAAACTTTATTCTCCAAATGTGCATCATGAAAAAGGGCTGTGAAATTCAGTTGGGTTTAACTTATGGTTAGGGACTCCCATTCCGTGCCAGGCACTGTGGGGCAGCCGTGGATGCTGAGGCAGCTGCACTACTTAGTAAGAGCAGTAGGTGTCAGTGCCACACAAGGGGACACCAAAGAGCCAGGAAAGGAAGTTGCCTCACGAACCTGGGAGGCGTGCTGTGCCCTCCAGAGGAGAGCAAGACTGTTCCGCGCCAGGTGTGGGTGTGAGCGAGCAGGTTATCCTCTGGGCTCAAAACTGTTCCAAATCCCCACTGTTGGCAGAACACAGCGTACATTTTCTTATGATACAGTAGTACCTTTTGTCCGTGGGGGATACATTTTTTTTTTTTTTTGAGGCGGAATCTCACTCTGTCACCCAGGCTGGAGTGCAGTGGCACAATCTCGGCTCACTGCAACTTCTGCCTCCTGGGTTCAAGCGATTTTCCTGCCTGAGCCTCCCAAGTAGCTGGAACCATAGGCGTGTGCCACCATGCCCAGCTAACTTTTTTGTATTTTTAGCAGAGACGGGGTTTCACCATGTTAGCCAGGATGGTCTTGATCTCCTGACCTCATGATCTACCCACCTCAGCCTCCCAAAGTGCTGGAATTACAGGCGTAAGTCACCACGCCCGAACCATGGGGGATACATTTTAAGACTCTTGCCCAGGGTGGTGGCTCACACCAGTAATCCCAGCACTTTGGGAGGCTGAGACGACAGATCAGGAGGTCAAGAGATTGAAACCATCAAGCCAACATGGTAAAACCCTGTCTCTACTAAAAATACAAAAATTATCTGCGCATGGTGGCGCCACCTGTAGTCCCAGCTGCTTGGGAGGCTGAGGCAGGAGAATCGCTTGAATCTGGGAGGCAGAGGTTGCAGTGAGCCAAGATTGTGCCACTAGCACTCCAGCCTGGCGACAGAACGAGATTCTATCTCCAAAAAAAAAAAAAGACTCTTGGTGGATGCTTGAAACTCAGATAATACCTACCAACCCCTATATATACCATTTTCTTTGCTATACATATACACTGTTCTGTGGTGGGCACCTCTATGCAAACCTACCCCAAGAGGCCACAGGAGCCCAGAGGCTGAGGAAAGAGACTGGCAAATCCAGCTTCTTACAAAGACACATTTTATAGGGACTTACAAACAGAAGCTTTGTCTCAAGCAGTGAGACACTGGGCCCCCACACTGTTATGGCTCAGACGCAGGGCTTACATACAACAGGGAATTTAACTAAGGGCAGGATTTATGGTAAGTATGTATTTATGATAACATCAAAGTTGTTCTGACCTGAGGGCAGGATTTACATCAAAGTGCATGAGAGCAGAAATTTTAGAGGCATTCCTGAAGCTGGGGTTGGTGAGAAGTCGGCATGGAGGATTAGCATTCATGGTGAAGCTGCTTTAGCCTCCAAGCTTACCTATGACCAGGTTTAATTTATAAAGTAGGCCCAGTAAGAGATTAACAATAATAATTAAAAATAGAACAGTGATGTAATAATACTCAGAATGGCACACAATTTACAACTTATAAATAATTTCTGGAATTTTCCATTGAATTTTTTTTTTTGAGAAGGGTCTCACTCTGTTGTCCAGGCTGCAGTGCAGTGGTGTGACCTCGGCTCACTACAACTTCTGCCCCCCAGGTTCAAGCGATTCTCCTGCCTCAGCCTCCTGAGTAGCTGGGATTACAGATGCGTACCACCATGCCCAGCTAATTTTTTTGTATTTTTAGTAGACACAGGGTTTCACCATGTTGGCCAGGCTGGTCTTGAACTCCTGACCTCGTGATCCACTGGTCTCCGCTTTCCAAAGTGCTAGGATTATAGGCATGAGCCATGGCACCTTGCCTGTTTTGATTTTTTCTGAGATAAAGTCTTACTCTGTCACCCTGCCTGGAGTGTGGGAGCATGTATTTAAATACTTTCCCCTATAAAACTGAGTTCATATAGTGATTAGTTGGAAAAACAAAGTCCCGAAATAACTGTCTTAAACAAGGCAGAAGTAATTTTTTGCTTTCTCATATAAAGTCCAAATCATGGCTCACCGCAGCCTTGACCATCCAGGCTCAAGAGATTGTCCCACCTCAGCATCAAGAACAGCTGGAACACAGGCACATGCCACCATGCCCAGCTAATATTTAAAAGTTTTTCTGTGAAGATGGGATCTTGCTATGTTGCCCAGGCTGGTCTCAAACTCCTGGGCTCAAGCAATTCTCTTTCCTCAGCCTCCCAAAGTGCTGGGATTACAGGTGTGAGCACTGCGCCCAGCCTGTAAGTATTTTCTAAAGCTCCTAGTGATTCTGATGTGCAGCCCAGGCTGACAGAGGAGAAAATTAGCTCCTGGAGGAAGGAACTGTGTCTGGCTCATCTCTATAGTCTCAGAGCCTGGCTCTGTGCTTGGCACACAGTGAGCACTCCATGAATGTTTGTGAAGGAACAGATGGGGAAAGTGCAAGAGCATAGGTGATTTCCCACGCAAGATGCAGGACACACACCTGAAGGGGGTGGCTTACCTCAATAGCATAGCAGAAGTCGGCACCTGCTGTGACTGCCATCATTGACAAGAGTCCCGTGCCAGTGCCAATGTCAAGAACCAAGGCCTTCTGTCCTCTGTCCTTCACCCTGCTCACGGCAGCCCGGATACCTTGGTAGTACTTTACATTCTAAGAAGAAAGGAAGAAATGGCCGTCACTTACTACCAGTTATTCTAAGTAGAAAGGTGCTCTGTAAAGTTCTAGAGTCACAGCTGGCAGCAGCAGTGCAAGTCAGAACCCTATGGCCTTTCTGGCCCCTGGCAGAACAGCACTGGCTGAGTTAGGCAGGCCTTGTGAGGTAGCCCCTTGCCCATTGTTAAGTGACTGTCCCTGCTCTACACTCACTCTTCTATACTCTACTAAGTGATGCCAGAGCCCTACAAACCATGTTTTCCTTTTTCCAGCTGTTAGGTACAGCCAAGAGGGGGACCAACAGGGCAACTGAAAGATAGGAGGACAGAGAAGGCTTCCTCCTTTCTGCAAGCTGCTCCTCTCATCAGGGTCCTCTCAGTAGGGGCAGTTGATCGCAGACTCCAGCTTCTCTCAGTGATCCTATAACCAGCTCCTTGGACAGCCCCACAGGGCTGCAGCTGCACAGGACCTCTCCTCAATGCTTATGGCTTCTGGAAACCCTAGTCTTCTCGTTTAGTTTCTCAGCCCAAGGCAAGGTAACTGCTCCCTGCAATCTCTACTGCTAGGTTAAAGGGTTTTCCCATTTGCTTTCTAGCCCTCCCACACCTGGGCGACCAGCGCCCTGTGTTAAAGCCCCTCTGCTGCGGTATGTAACGTGGCTTTGGTTTTCCTTTACCAACTCTAACCCAGAGAGCTTCCTTGTCTAAAAAGTATTTTCCCCTTCAGGAAATACCTTATTTGCATCTTGAAGACTTTTAGTTCTGGTCTTTACAGATACATCTTTCAACAGTCTGACTCAATAGGCACAATGACCCTTCTGTTGAAAATAGCTAAAAATGATGGAAAAAATATATGCAAATCTTTTAAATAGACTGATGACCTGCCAATTAGTAAGAAATATTAAGAGGCTATTAAAATTTAAGATAATTTGTTAAGTAACCGTAGACAACTAATAAATAATTGGTATCAAAAGGGCAATATTCTCTTACCACAGTGCAAAACAAGTTAGAAATCTTAATAACAGAAATACAACTAAAAAAAAAATGTTTTGAACATTGAGAAGTACACTTCTAAACTCACAGGCAAAAGACTAAACTAGATTGGAATTAGGAAATATCTAGAACTGAATATTCTTTAAAATTACCTGGCCGGGTACAGTGACTCATGCCTGTAATCCCAGTACTTTGGGAGGCCGAGGCGGGTGGATCTCCCAAGGCCAGGACTTTGAGACCAGCCTGCCTAACATGGTGAAACCCCCGTCTCTACTAAAAATACAAAAACTTAGCCGGGCGTAGTGGTGCACACCTATAATCCTCGCTGCTCAGGAGGCTGAGACAGGAGAACAATTTTTTTAAGATTAAAAAAAATGATAAGCAGCATCCTCAATTGTAAACCAGGGATGGCACAACCTTCACTTTAAGGATGCCATTAAATTAGCTGTCACTTTTCAATGACTCAGTTTTGAAGATACCAAAGTGAAACTAGAACACTTTTTGAAGGCATGTGGCAGTATCTATCAAGAATCATACCTATGTTCATAACCCTAGACTATACCAAAGATATATGCATGGTAAATAAGCACATGAAAAGATATTTGATGGCCAGGTGCTTTGGCTCATACCTGCAATCCCAGTATTTTGGGAGGTCGAGGCAGGTGGATCACCTGACCTCAGGAGTTCAAGACCAGCCTGGGCAATACAGCGAAACCCCACCTCTACAAAAAACACAAAAGCTAGCCAGGCGTGGTGGTGTGCGTGTAGTCCCAGCTATTGGGAAGGCTGAGGTTGGAGGATTGCTTAAGGCCAGGAAGTCAAGGCTGCAGTGGAGCTGAGAAATCACACTACTGCACTGGGTGACAGACCCTGTCTCAAAAAAATAAAATTAAATTATAATTAAAAATAAAAATTACAACTACAATGAAGGCCAGGCATGGTGGCGCGTGCCTGTGATCCCATCTACTTGGGAGGCTGAGGCAGGAGAACTGCTTCAACCTGGGAGGTGGAGGTTGCAGTGAGCCAAGATCTCGCCACTGCATTCCAGCCTGGGTAACAGAGCGAGACTCCATCTCAAAATAAAAAAATTTAGTTCACAGAAGCCCAGACAATGGTTGCTGCTGAGGGAGAGGAGAGGTATTGATCAGAGGATCTGATGTTTCAGTTAGACAGGATGAATAAGTTCTGGAGATCTACTGTACAGCATGGTGAGCTATAGTTAATAATGCACACTTAAAAATTACTAAGTGAAGGGCCGGGCGCGGTGGCTCAAGCCTGTAATCCCAGCACTTTGGGAGGCCGAGGCAGGTGGATCACGAAGTCAAGAGACCGAGACCATCCTGGTCAACATGGTGAAACCCCGTCTCCACTAAAAATACAAAACATTAGCTGGGCATGGTGGTGCGTGCCTGTAACCCCAGCTGCTCAGGAGGCTGAGGCAGGAGAATTGCCTGAACCCAGGAGGCGGAGGTTGCGGTGAGCCGAGATCGCACCATTGCATTCCAGCCTGGGTAACATGAGTGAAACTCCGTCTCAAAAAA